CAGTACCAAAATATGAGATTAGGTTTTCCCCTTTTTTCTTGCAACAAAACAGGTGTTAAGGGGCCGTCCATAAATGACGTCACGCACCTGGGGGGGGGGGGTCAGACATTTGTGACGATGTGTGACGAGGGGGGGGGGGTTGAGAAATGTGACGTTACATCAAAATGCGCAACTTTAAATAAATATAGACAACACGTTCTACTTAATTAAATAGACTTTTTTTTATAAATGTTTCTCCTACAACATCAGACTGCATTGGCACATTAAATACGCACTACAATGACAATAGTTTAAAGCGATTTGAAGCATGTTTTATTTTGGGGGGGGGCAGAGCTTTGTGACGTCATATTTGAGGGGGGGTCTGACTTTTTGTGACGCCGTGTGAAGATGGGGGGGGGGGGTCAAAAATCGTCCAAAATCGTGTGACGTCATATATGGACGGCCCATAAGATGTTAAAACACCAAACTGAAACCTTTTACAAGAAATCATGTCTGCATTAACCACAATACTTGTGGTCAGAATGCAAACAAAAAACACTGATAATATATGTATTGCCTTAGAAACTGATTGGTCCACACCAGAGACAGCTTTCTTTCGAGCCTCGTCTCAAACGGTGTTAGACCAGAAGCTCAAAAGAAAGCTGTCTCTGGTGTGGGCCAATCAGTTTCAAAGGGAATGCATTTATAATCAGAGTACGTTTTTTGTTTGCATTCTGACCACAAGTATTGTCGTTAATGCAGACATGATTTCTTGTGAAAGGTTTCAGTTTGGTGTTTTAACATCTTAACACCTGTTTTGTTGCCAGATAAAATGAGAAAAAACTATTCTTAGTTTATTTTTAATGAATGCTTTTCAACTACAAGTCAATTCGTGAATGCCCATCTCTGTGTCTATAACAGGACCACTTGAAACAAAGTGTAAGTAAAGTGCCCTGTTTTCCCACTGTTTACATAAATGACAATGTGGTAAAATCAGTTTTACAAAATGATCGGCCCTGTGGCTGGTCCGCTCGACGACTCATACAAAAGTGTGAAATTTCAAATCCCGGTCAGGGATCAACCCAGCTGATCATTCCTCCTGTGGCTGATAAAATGTAGCACGGTCACCACTCGGCTGTCTCCCCAGCACTGATGGTTGACACCTACACAGGTACAAACCGAAATGACCTCGCAAAGGCCAAATCCAAAATTGGATTCTGCTTGCTGATGGTGAAATATCTATCCAGGAACCGAAACTTGGTCATTTGGGATGAATTTGAGTTAACCATAAAGCCACCGCATTAATGAGTGATTGAACTACAAGTTACTCATTTATAAAACACAAGTAATGCAGCATGCAATTAAATGATAGTACAGAATTACCTTTATACCAAAATGTGTTTTCGCAATTTATTTTGTAACCAGTCACTGAATACAGTTTATAAATGGGAAAAGGTATAACATTGTAACAGCGGCCCCACCACCAAGGTAGGTTTGCTGTGGTTCTACATTAGAAGTTTTAGACATTTGCTCACAACACATTTTCCTTAATCAACAGGACACACACTGTGTATGAACACCAACACGAATATCATCCTGAATTAGCAAATCATTATGGCTGAAAACGCCTGGGACATTTCATTGTCAAGAAATATGTTAACATTGGGTGGGCCAACCCCCCAAAAATCCCCTACCCCCTCGGTTAAACAATCAACAACTACAATTATACACTGTTGAAAAAGCACACCTTCGATTTATCATTATAATGCATGTCTCTAAACTCATTTGGGAAGCTGTGGCCAAAGGTTAGTGGGCAGGAGGCAGGCTATGCTGACCTGGGAATGGTCCAAGCCACACTCTTTTGTGGCCTAGTAAACCAACCCAGCCTAAATTTCGATTTAAAGCTTTCGTGACTGCAGGGATTCATATTCTTGGTTCTTTCGGTAAAGTCACGTAGAAGAGAAATAATTAAAATAATTCCCTTCTACGTGACTTTACCGAAAGAACCAAGAATATCAACCCAGCCTAGGTGCACATTTGTAGAGCAGCAATCTCGGCAAGGTTTGGGGGGGGGTAGGGAAAGTTGATCGCCAGTAAATTAGTAAAAAAGCAAGGACTTGAAAGCAACATCTAAGATGCGTGTGCTGAGATGGCCCAGGGAGCTGAGTGATCATGAATCCAAGGCACTCACTCACGATTAAACCAAAAAAGTCAACGCATTTATCAACAACAATAACACAATATAAATATTAATATATAACCGGTCATGTTGCAAGCAATGGCCCTTCATAGTACATAAATGATGGGCTGCTGCCAGAAAATTGCCTATGAAATATATATTTTTTATTTGGGGGCAGTGTTGTTGACGAATGTTTTGAGTTTTTTTGATCTACTGTGTTTGTGCACACACTGCCAACAAAGCATCACTAAATAATTATTAAACTGGGTTCCCAGGTGTATGGATTAATGATCTCGGCAGAGTCATCATTGAATGTACACAAATTTTAAATATTGGTTTTGATTTGCTGTTAAGTTATAACTCCACTAGACTGGGTAGTTAGCGCACCAGAAAAACACATGCAGTACAAAGGCGTGCATGTAGTTCTGGGTTAGATGTACTCGCGTGATCGCAGTAGCCCTATCAGGACCGCTCCCGTCAATGATGTGATCCTCACCGCGGGGGCTCTTGCCCTCATCACACGACTCGAAGTCACATTCTTATTTCACATGCTGTTTGTTATCCGACTCAGTGGAACAAACGTGTTAACTCTCAACTAATATCCTGACTGGCTCTTCTTGTTTGCTGGCTGATTTGCAAAGTACTGTATGGCTTTAAATGGCTTCTGACTCGAAACTATTATTTGAAAGAAAAAAAAAACCCCATAGAAATCTTACACATTCTTTAACATGAGTGTAGAAATGCAATGAAATAAAAGTTGATGACATTTTGTTGAATAAAATACCACGTTTTAATTAGGAAAGGAGGTGCTGATGTCATCCATGTGACCTCCAACATCACTACTGCTTTAGGGGTTTGCCGAGCCCAGCGAGGGCTCTCTTGTTGTGTAAACACACTGGCAAGCTAATAGAGACATCGTGGCCTGATCAGAACCCAACTCTGACTCGTTAAAAGTTGGTCATGGAAATACGGCAGATGTTGATGTATTTTGAAAACAAACTGTTACGTAGTCCTGCTTTTCCATAACACGTCAATAATTCTAGATTTGAAGTTTCCGTGACTGCAAGGATCCATACTCTTTGGTTCTTTCGGTAAAGTCACGTAGGTAGAAAAATAAAAATGATAATAATCGCTTGTCACAAATAGCTCTCTCTATTCACTACAGTAATATGTGGCTGTGGCCGTTCCACCTGATGACGGAAGCTTGTGTTGCCTCCGAAACGTCGTGATTTCATTTAGTTATTTTCATTTTATTATTTGTATTTTTCGTCTACGTGACTTTACCGAAAGAACCAAAGAGTACGTCAATAATTGGTGAAACGCCAAGGCCTTGTGACACGTGGATACGAATCGTTTGCATTTACAGCATAAAACAAGGCATGTCACAAATTAATCAATTATAATCGTTTCTTGCACTCACAATATATGTATCGAATCGTGCGCGCGAGAAAGGATTGTGGACACTGTGAATGATCAAAATCTGAATAATTATTTATACTGGAGGAATCCGATGAGCTATAAAGCTCTTTTTCACAGATGTCCGGCAGGGGTGGGTCAGAACGTCACAGTTCTATGCGAATGATCAGAATATGACGATAAAAACAAGACCGAATAAGCAACAGCACAAATTAAATGGTTGCATGTGAGATTTAAACAAAAATTACATTCCCGAATTGAATCACGATTCTGCATCATGCCAGACCATCAAACGGAGTGGAGGTGGGTGAATTATTGTGTCTACAAAACACACCGTAGATTCTCCTCATTTGGAATTTCACGAAGTATTTGACAGCGACCAGTAACCTCAACATGCCCGGGCTGCTTGTGGTCACGTGATGATTATAATTATAATTGCCACGTGCTGCTCAGAGCGTGACTCATGCTTTGTGGCAGCACCCGCTTTCATGAGCCCTTCGAGAAAGTAAGCTATGGCTCCTAGTTTCTTCCTTTGCTTTGGCCGAGTCTTTTAGGCTTCAGGAACTCAAACAATGCGGCAAGAGGCTTATTTGGGAGAAGAGGCTTTCAAGCCACAGCATAGACTCAAGACAGTAATGTGCTGATGATACCTAATAATGGAGAACCTCGTGCAATTGCCATACACTATAGCAGGGATACGGTGCTGAGGAAAAGTTTGTGAACCCCTTAGGATTTTCATATATTTTTACATATTTCAAACCTAAAATGTTATTAGATCTTGATCTCAGTCTAATAATAAAGATAACCTGATTAAACAAATGACACAAAACATTATATTTTAATATTTATCCTCAAATTATTCTAAACTTAATAACCATGTGTGAAAAAGAATGTGAACCTTTAGATTCAGTAATTGGTGACACTTCCTTGGACAGCAATGACTGCAACGAAGCATTTCCTGTAACCGTTGGTCAGTCTCTCACATCGGATTTGAGGAATGTTGGCCGATTCCTTCTTACATAACTCCTTCAACTTGGTGACATTTGAGGGTTGCCTTGCATGGACAGCTCGCTTCAGGCCCTGCCACAACATCTCGATGGGGTTAGGTCTGGACTTTGACTAGGCCATTGTAAAACGTGGAATTTCTTCTTCTGCAGCCATTTGTTTGTAGATCTGCTTGTATGTTTAGGATCATTGTCTTGCTACAAGACACACTTTCAGGTTAGGTTCAGCTCACGGACAGATGACCTGACATTCTCCTCTAGAATCTTCTGATACAATGCATACATCGTGGTTGTGTCTTTGATGGCAAGCCGTCCAGGTCCCGAGGCAGCAAAACAGCCCCAAACCATCACATTCCCACCACCACGCTTCACGGTTGGGATGACGTTCTTGTGTTCAAAAGCAGCGTTTACTTTTTGCCAAAAAGTGCTACCTTTGCCTCGTTTGTCCATAGAACATTGTTCCAGAAGTCTTGTGGCTCATCTGTGTGCTCTGTGGCGAACTTCAGACGGGCAGCAATGTTATTTTCTCCTTGCTATCCTTCCATGAACACCATGGTTGTATTTTTTTTTGATAGTTGAGTCATGAACACTCACGTGTATGGTGAAGACCAAACTCAAAGTTTCTGATCTTTATACCGGGTGGTGCCTCCTAAACTCACCTCTGAAGATCTACCTAACTATTTAAACACCGGATTCGAATTATTCCCTTGAGCTTATGAAACCAGGGGTTTTACTTACTTTTTCACAAACCATAAACCTTAGTTACTCATTGTTTAATTCATTCATCGTTTTGTTTTAAAATACATGGAATTGGTGAATTTAACCCCTATTGGATATTTAAGATAATACCGGTTTTGATCCAAGAAGGCTGTACCATGCAACTATGGAATGTAAATAATTATCATTGGGGTTCCTAAAAAAATATCGGCACTGTATACTGCAATGACACTGATGAGTGGCAAAGAGGGTACAACTATTGTCATCTATACTGCGCTAATGATTCCAATCAGGGTGAAATCATTACACAGCTACCACCTTGCTTTACTGCTAAATTAAAAAGGCCACACTTTCATCCTTTAAAATGTGCTGCTGTGCCCGTACAAACCAAGAGTGTTGAATCATGTTAGTGGGCTTCTCATACGATGTGATGCGCTTCTTGCTTCATGCACTGTTGAAACCTCAACGTGTATTACGATACCGTTTTTGACATTGCCTCAGACTGCTCGTCACTGACGTGTTACCCTAAACTAAAACAATGGCGCAACAGCTGAAAAAAAACATATCTCTTAAAATCACTCATGCGATGCTCAATTCTATGCTTTGTGTACTGATCACGTAAGTGTATGAGTGAACAACAATCAACACAATACTGGTCGCGAAAGCCTACGTGTTAAACTAACAAGCAACACGTGTGATAAAGCAACATGTGCATACATTTTCAGTTAAATTTCACCACAAGCTGGGCAGGTCTTGAATCTTGAACCACCCTTAAAAGTTCTATTCCAGGCCAAAATGAACACCAGTGCTTCGTGATGTTTCAAATGGTCCAGGGCACTATCCCTCTTCACCAAGCCATGAGCGACATATCATTTGAAGGTTTTCCTCCAGCAGTGAATTTACAAAGGTGTGCTTATATTAAATAAAATACAAATGAACTGGTCCAAAGCCACGTTTGAAAAACACTCATGCATTCAATGATTGGCAATTTTTTTATTTTATTAATTTATATCAGCGCCAGGTGGTTGTGTGACAGGGCACTTAACTTACAATTGGAAAGTCGTGATTTCAAATCCCTATCAGGAGTTGACTAACTCCATCATCCCTTCTTGTCAATAAAATAAGGACCACTTTGAAGTCAACAGTGGTTGTCCCGTAAACAGAACGTTCCACATCAAAGGAATCTGGAATATCCAATGCTTTCTCAGGGCTGCTCGCTTGCGCAGGAAGATATTTGTATTTTGCTTTTATTTATTTATATTTGAATGACCCTCTCCAAAATGCCTATTACAACGTACAATGCACGAGGCTGTTCAGTTTGGGGATAGCAATTTCACTATCATGATGAGCAAATCAATGTCAAGTCAATTAATCTCCCTGCTCGAACAAGCTTTTAGGTGCTACCCACCTCGATTATCTGGCCCACTGGTGTAATTTCCACATTCCCAAGGCAGAGACACATCGGATAATCACGGTTGACATTCCTTAAAAATGGTGGTCATTTTATCATTCCTGTAGCAAAGAGAGGCTCAATTAATCATGACTTGGATTTTGATTCATTCACTGGACTTGTGAATCAAGCACTCTTAACCATACTGCCACCTTGCTAAAGAGACTAACGCAGTGCAGACCACGATTTGCTCTGAAAAGTTATATTTGGAAGATTAATGGATAACCAAGCTTTTACCCTTCATCTACAGAAGTGACATTTCCATAATCAATATTGATGCAGATCATGAACACAAAACTCTAACTTACAATGTACACAACAAGCACACCCAATCAGTGTTAACAAATGGTTTTGTAAAGCCAAACAGCTGTTTACCACCAGGATCATGACCATATGTACGATGTGAAATGCTTGTGGTGTTGTTTGGTAGCAATGGTGTTATGGCCCACCTCAGAGGGCCCTATATAACACAACACACAGCAAAGTATGGGCTGGCTTGGACTCAACATAGCAGGCCATAATCACTGTGGCAGTGAGGCAACATCTGCTATCGAATTGGTGGAATTGGTACAACACACAGCTTTGCTTTTTTATCCTGCAGCAACAAATATATAGCCACGATCCTGACTGTAGAGAAGCTAATTGACTTTACAGGCACAAGCCCAAAAAAATCTCACCACTTCCATAATTAATTCTGCCTTAAAAAAGAAACATTTAAGAAGGGCCATCACCCAATGCATACGAGTAGAGAGATTGGGAGAATTATAAAGAATAGTTTAGAATTGACAAACTAAACGTTTTCCAGATGTCAATACTGAGTAGTAACAACTTACATTTAATTTAAATTTAACCTTACAAAAACTGCTTGCTGGCACTACATGCGATTGATTTTGGATTGAATTTCCACAATCCTTTGTAGGTCTTATGGCTTTTGTTATCAACAGAATGACAAGATCAATTAAGGCATGTTAGACACCATGATGACATACAATGTTATGTATCACAACAACCTGCTAACAACATAACAGCTTATGGTAATTTTTGAAAATATCTGTCTCTGCCTCCTGCTGTAATTGTCAACCATGGAATTCACTATACTGGCAAAAATCAGCAGCAAGCAGTGTCTGCAATTGAATCTATTTGTCACTTCAGTTTGACAATGTGGATACACCTCAGAAGCATATGGATGAGTATTGTTCGACAGAGGAAAAGTGATTCTATAGTTTGATATTCATGGTGGCAGCTATGCAAGTTATAGCACACAGAGACGGTGAGTCTCCAGCAGGAACGCTGCATATTAAATTATTATTCGTGCAAAGTGAGGTCACGTGAAGGTTAACGGACCTCAAGTGAAGTACTTCAATCACTCAGCCAGGCTGATGGTAGTCCTTGCTCCTCAGGCTCAAGGCCCCCTTCTCGAGCCCCAAGTAGTACATTTTGAGACTTGAGGAACTAGCCTGAAAATATGACTAAATGTTGAATAATAATTAAAGAGACAATAGATTTAGGCTTCAGTATGAGTCAAAATATTACAGGCCAATCCTAAAGAGTCAAACACAAGACTTCTAAAACGTTTTGGAGTATTGAAAATGTCCCATCAGGCTGCGATTGTTGTAGTAAGCTATGAAACAACATAAGATCAACTCTATAAACATTAAAAGCAAATATGGGTGTTGTAATGAGATTGCAACCTTATGGCCGTGTCAGTGGTTTCGAGGGACCGCCACTCCTCCTACACCAGCCAATTACCTGCCAGGAAGACACCCCCCCCCCCCCCCCCATGCAACATCGCCACCATGAAATCACTCCTGTGACATTGCTGGCAAGATGTCATTGATGTCATGTCACTTCAGCCACTCTATGGCTGAGGTGCATAGATTTGTTTTTAATATTGACGATTCATCACCCATTTTAATATTCATGGTATTAGTGTAAATAATATAAATGTTGTCACCAACATGTTAAGTTATTAATTATCGTTGTTTTTTTGCAGACTTTGCTCAGCGACTTAGGAGTGTTCCCAATCACACTTCACTTTTATCCAATCTTTACGATGCATAAATGTCTGAACCACCCTTGTGGGAGTTAGTTACAAAAAGTCGGTTTACACAGTTTATAGAACTTCGTACGTCATTCTGTACTCAGGCCCCAAGGTTTGACACGACAGTTGTGGTTGTTAATTCTAGATTTGAAACTTTCGTGAGCATTCATACTTAGGTTTTTTCTTGTGGTTGTCTTCATAAAGATGAGGCATTTTATAGACATGAAGAGGAAATGTGAGTTAACGAGAAATGTTTTTTAGAAAAGAGTACTATATACATTTATACTCTTAGCTATATATGCAATTACATATATATTCATTGTATGAATAAAGATGTTCCGAATTTATATCACAAATGATAGTTGCATTGCGTCACAAGATGGATACATTTCATTCTAGAATGCTCTCTCAGGCAGAAGCGCACAAAAATCTCGATTGAAAACTTATTTTTTTTATAACTGCTTTTTGTGTTAAGTTTGTTATCCTTACCCCGCACCTCCAAATAACACTGTTGGCTACTTACGGTGCAAAATAAGTTCAATATACACACATACGGGAAAGGTCACAGGAGATAACCCCACAAAACGATTCTTGGAGTCACTTCAGCGAAACTCTTAACACAAAAGTGCTCGTTCATGCCTTTTAAATAGTGTCAGTCACATTTTAATAATCTAATATGTTCGTCCTCAGAGCAGAAATATTGTAAATTATATGCAGATGTCAATGTAACGTGATTAATATTTGTGATTGGGCAGAATCCATCCACAAGTGGTGGTTGAAATACATATTTCAAATCAGGTTGTTAAAGCTTTAACGCTGGCATTAGTACCCTGAGCCACCCGAACCCCAGTACATCGTTTTTAAGACCGAAAAATCAGTTCTTGAGACTTGATTTTTTGAGGCTCAGAGTCCTTGAGATGAATTCGTTGGAAAACTCTCCTTCTGAGACATGGATGTGCAGATTTGGCGACGGAGACTGGATGGCAGGTCGGTGGACAGGAAACTGATGATGAAAGCCTCCTCTACTTCTGCAGCTTAAGCATGAGCCACTCGTACAGCTGAGGTTTATCCCTGTGGGGAGAGTGTTCCAGCAGGATCGTGCGGAATTGCACCAACATCTTGAACACTTCACCTATGAAAGTGGAAGGCAGAGGGAGAGGGCAGTCAGGCAGTTTGAGTGCAGTTCATGAATTAATTCAATACATTAAGTCACTTCACGATTATCAATTGAGAAACTATAAATAGGTAGCCGAGTAAGCTTTTAAAATGCCCATATTTTTCCGTGGAAAGCCTAACCGAGTCTTAAGACTCTATGAAGAAAGTCCTGCATTTTAATGTCACCAGTTTTCACTTATGAGATGTTGAGAAAGATGGCAATAAACAAGTGTGTAACAAGAGCACCCACATTTACTCAAGGTGTCTCACAGAGAGATTAAACATCATCCATTGCTGTACTATTATATCTTAGTCACCTTGCAGCCCAAGCCTGCCACACCCAACATTCCTCAGCCATCTCCCATCCAAGAACTAACTAAGCTCAACTCGTGTTAGCTTACAAGATTAAATGACATTGGGCGAAGCGGTGATTTGGTCATGGGCTTTTGACGGTCCTAAATTGTCAAAGTGTTGCTGTAATCAAACACATGCACTCCTGTGTCAGGGGCCAAATGAAAGTGACTGCCTTCTGAAACATACACGGGCCAGTGTTAATCTTTCTTTGATGACTTTAAAACAGTGGTGGAAATTCCAGATTTCTATGGCAAGAACTAGTCATTCCATAGGGCATAGATTTCAAATAGGACACAAATCATTTTAAAAGCGCACAGCCTTCGTGCATACGCAAAAACACCATCATGATTTCCTGAACAAGAGCAGTCGTCTTCTAGTATTACATTCCCATCAAATAAATTTTGAGTAAAGATGAAATAATTTAGCCCACAATGCACTTCTTCAGGATATTCTGATGGTTTATTTGCATGTGCAAAATGGCTGCATAATTTGTACACATTTTGTGTCTTGTTTGAAACGTATGACATCGAGCCTGCACGATTAGTGTGTCATGCTGATCAATTACAGATTGTATTGCACCATTAGACTTCACACTTAGAGGTATGCATTACACAGACCCCAGAGGGATAAAGGACTCGGTATGAAAAAATAGGTTTGACCCTTTTTGGAAATAAAACAGGTGATGTTACGATGTTCAAACAGCAAATGTAAACCTTTTTGCATTAACCACGCACAGTACTACTTGTGGTGAATATGCAAACAAAAACATGATCAGTAATGGAAGCCAACAGGTGGCTTCTGCATATTTTGGGCAACTTTTTGGTCAATTTGAGCAGTTTTCAAGAGGCCAAGTCCCAAATAGCAACATAATTTGGTGGCAGTGCAGCGTTGAGCCCAATTCTTGTCATTTACAGATGTGATTATACTGGTAGGAACGAAGTGGACCAGCCTACAATAGATTATATCGTCCGTCCGTTTGTCCGTCCGTCCGTCCGTGTAGCAACATCGCCCCCTACTGCAAACACTTGGCATGACCCTACAAAGACCTTTAGACTCAGTGACGCTTTCCTGGCTAAACAAGTGTAACATTCCCTTATAATTCCCTCAGATAGCTTTTAATTAAAACATTTCAATTAATGAGGCTTTCCTGGCTAAACAAGTGTAACATTCCCTTATAATTCCCTGAGATAGCTTTTAATTAAAACTTGTAAATTTAAATTAACTCACGGCGGCCTAAAGCCTACAGCGAGGCCTAAAGCATCGAACAACGCCTCAAACTCTCCCTTCGTATCGTTCCCCCGCGTGTGTGCAAGGGAGTTAATGTTTAACAATGTTACATTCCCTGATGTTTTTAAATAGAAACATTTACATTTAAAGCTTTTACAAATAATAAAAACAGTTAAATTAAAAATTAACTCACAGCAGCCTAAAGCCTACAGCTAGGCCTAAAGCCTAGACCTAGGCCTCAAACTCTCCCTTCGTATCGTACCCCCGCGTGTGTGAAAGGGAGTTAATGTTTAACAATGATACATTCCCTGATGTTTTTAAATAGAAACATTTACATTTAAAGCTTTTACATAAATAATTAAAACATTTAAATTAACAATTAACTCACGGCGGCCTAAAGCCTACAGCTAGGCCTAAAGCCTAGAAGTAGGCCTCAAACTCTCCCTTCGTATCGTTCCCCCGCGTGTGTGAAAGGGAGTTAATGTTTAACAATGTTACATTCCCTGATGTTTTTTAATAGAAACATTTAAATTTTAAGCTTTTACATTAAAAACAACTCCCTACCCCCCCCCCCCCCCCCGGCGGCTCTCCAGCCTAGAGCCAGGCCTGGGAATCTCTCCCCCGCTAGAGGTGTATTGGGCGGGGCTACAGCGGCAGGGGGTGGGGCTACGCGGGGCTGGGCGGGGCAACGGCAGCAGGGGGCGTGGGTACGAGGTGGAGGGCGGGGCTACGCGGGGTTGGGGCGGGGTTACGGCGGTAAGGGGCGGGGCAACGAGCTGGGGGCGGGGACACCGAGATGGGGCGGGGCCACGGGTGGCCGGGGCGGGGTTACGCGGGTGAAGGGCGGGGCCACGGGGCATCCACTTATTGGCGGCCATTTTTTGCCATTTCATTTTATTATAGCCATTCAATTGTTCGTTCCTACCAGCCCACCCCGCAGGGTCCTGTTTATCTCTTGCCGTTATTTATAAAGTTAAATACACCTAATATATGTTCATTTGATTAACAGTAATCTTAAAAATGCGTGCCGAAGTTACTTTCAGTGTGTGGTAAAGCAACTTGCCAGGTGGCAATTCGGAGTTGGAACGTTATGAATGAAGATTTCTGAGTGACTCAGTCTTTGCAAAAGGTTTCTAAATGGAGTTTGAACATCTTAACAACCTGTTTTATTGCCAGACAAGGGTAAAACCTATTCTTATTTTATCATACTTTGACACTGGCAAAAAAAGGTCCCATGTTGTAGCTGCTAAACCCGAGCCATAAATTCCCTGGTAGTGCATTGTCTTTGTACTGTATAACACGTAGGCTTTCGCGACCAATATCGTCCATAATACAGTTTTTTTGGGTTATATCACGTAAATATAAAATGTGAGGAATTTCCACCACCGGCTGAAGGCTGCCAATGAGGATGACCACCGTGAGATGTTAACTACCTCGCCTGGTATACAGGAGGTAGTGGGTTCGATCACGACCCTGACGCCTGCTGTATATTTGGAGTTTGCACGCTCTCTCTCCCCATACTCGTGTGGATTTTTCTCAAGGTCCTCTGGTTTTGCCCAACACATTTAGAAACATGCGTTTAGAGTATTCGGCTGCTATTAATTTCCACATAAGCCACTTCTTACTCTTAGTTCTTTCGGTAAAGTCACGTAGGTAAAAAATGAAATAAAAATTAATAAAAAATAAAATAATAAAATCACGACGTTTATTATTATATTTTTTTATTCATTTTAATTTTATTTTTTACCTACGTGACTTTACCGAAAGAACTAAGAGTATGAATCCTTGCAGTCACGAAAGCTTCAAATCTAGAATAAGCCACTTCGTTGACCAATCATTTGTGGCAAGGCAGCTTCTGAAAAAGAGCTATATAGCTCAGTGTAAAATACAAAAAAGAGTTTAGTTTTAATAGTAGCCTGCGCCGAGTGCTACGGTGCCCAATGCTGCTCGCTGGGGGCTGTGCGTGACCCCTACCGACGGTGCGGCCCTGGTTTTGGAGGAAGCCGTGGATGTTTCGGAAATCTTCCTCGAGGCTGCGGTCCCCAAACGTGAAGTAGGCGATGTCTCGCCCGGCCTCCGCCGCTGCCAGCATCTGCAGCAGCGCTGACGACGCAAGGGTATGATCGGGATTTATTCTCATTGCAATCTATAAATGTCTTACCCCACGGCACACCACGGGAAGGCGAGGAGTGAGGTGCGTAAGGGCAGCAGACAGAGTAAGACGACCGGCAATGGGAAGGGATGCCAGGATAGAAGTCCCCAAGGCAGACAGACTCCACGGCTCAAGGTAAGCAGCAGCAAGAAAGAAGGAGTGCCGGGCAGGGAGGAGAAAGGAATGACCGGGCCAAGACGTCAGGATGAGAAGAAGAGAGGGGGAATGAAGGTGCAAGCAGAGCTGAGCTGCACGGAGCATCGTCTGTTTTCACAAGTGGAGGGGAAGAGGAGAGGGATTCAGAGCGAGGATGGCCACATGTAGGGTCATGTGATTTACGGGATGTTAATACCAGCACATCCACCAAGGAGATTGAGCATTGCAATCCAGTCCTCTTTTGAACCTAGGAGCCTCTTAACAGCATGATGCCCTGGCTATCCGACCAATGTACTTCATGTTTACACTGGGGGAAGGGCACTTACATGTTCACATAGGCAACTTACCTTGCATCTTTCACAAATAATTTCAAGACTGACTGATAGTGGTGCTGTCACGCTCCTCCACTATGGAACTAATTGACAATTATCCAAGCAAGCAGTGGATTCACCTTGGCTGATGATGATGAAGAAAAAGATTACTGTAATGGGAAGGCAGGGTTAAAGTGAGGGTGTCACCTTTCAGCCGCTTGTCACCTCCGAATGCGCCGCAGCCCCAATTTCCAGTGGCGACGGGAGAGAGGGAACCAGCTGGCACCGGGGCAGCTGAATCCACAGAAGGCCTGCATGCAAAGGAGGAGGCGGCGCCGAGCTCAACGCTTGTTAAAAAAACCCGCACCTCCGATGAGCACGGCTTGGCTAGGTACAGTGCGAAGGAAGTTCAACAAACACACAGACCCACACACTGGGTGACGACACGGCCTGGCGGTCGCGCATTCACCGCTTGTTGCAGAGGTTCACGGTTCGAATCCACCAGTCGCCCCTGGTTATTACTGCGGTGTGTATTTACCATGACAAGACTACGAGCCATCTGCTTCTCAGCGCACGTTAAAGATACCCTGAAGATCCAAACGTACATTCAATCCTTCTTAAACTGTCCCACCATCAGGACATCCTATGATAAAATAACTGATCTGTACAAGGTATCACCAGATACCAACATACCCTTTTAACATTTCCGTTAGAAAGACCATCCTGAGCTCCTGGAAGAATCATGGGGCCCCATCCATCACCCTCTGGCATAACTCTCTATTCACTCTCGCAGCTTTAGAACACCTGAGTCTGAAACTGAAGAATAGGGAAGGGGAGTTCACCCAGATCTAGGGCCCCCCCCCCTGTGAATGCCACTCCAGAGACCCTGAGCTTACTTGACTGAACTTGAAATGAGACTGACTCCCCCTCCCTCTTTCCCCCTTCCTTCCCCGAAGAAAAGGGATCTGACGCACCACGTACCGCATAACGCTACGCTCCTACACGTCCGCGTTGGTTGTCTCTCCGCTATGCACCACTCACTTATCGCAGAAGTTGTACACCCCCCCTCCACCCCCGTGGTACCCCAACGACGTCGCTCGCAAGAGAGGGCCGTTGTGTGCCGGCGTCAGGGTGAAAATATGCCAACTTCTAAAATTACCTGGGATTACAAAGACTAATGCCCAGGTCAGTCTTGCAAATGAAACCAAGTGACAATGCTTGAAAACGCTTGAGTTCTTACCTGGTTAAACACATATTCTTGGTTCTTTCGGTAAAGTCACGTAGAAGGGAAATAATAAAATAATAAAACTAATAAGCGAATCTTTAACGTGACAGTGTCAGGGGGCAACCGTCGGGCGCGACTGCCGCAGTGCGAGAAGAGTAACGGAGACGGGGGATTTGTGTTGAGGTGAAATTGAAAATAAAAAGTGTACACACACGAAATAGCCCAGAGAGCAACTCAGCATCCTTCATAACAATAACAAGGGTGTAAATCATGTAGAATTAGTTTAACAATTAGGGAGAGGTTATCATTTAAAATTCAGGACGCAACCAAATGTTTTCCACTGAGGTCTATTATTTGTCGAACACGGTTTTGCCCAACACGGCTATTTACAGGAACGTAACCCCCGCGTTCAACGAGGTTTGCCTGTATTTCGCACGATGGGTTTAACTAATCTGTGATCACAAAACGACTATGGTAGCAAGACAACGACAAAAATGAGAATCAATTTGAACGTGATAAAAAAAACAATACATTCTTGAATCAAATCACAACACCAAATCGCTGGGGTGGGGGAGGTGATTTGCCTGATAAACAAAAAATAATAGTTTTAAGTGGTTGCAAAGATTTGTTAAAAGTCAAATAGAACCCCCTGGGCTGTCCACACAGACAAACACCAGGTGACCATACACATCACCTATGTGCTCACCTTGTTGACTTCTCGCTCCAGCTTTGTCTGCTCGAACTGCTCGACGTAGCCGTAGAAATGGATGGCGTCAATGGCGACAATCTCCGTTTGCCGGCGCATACACGCGTCGCTGTGCAACGACACGGCAGGACACACACAAGCATCAGCACCAACCGCAACAACGCCACCAACAGTGCCATCACCGGCACCACCGTGACCGGCACTACCGGCATCACCAGCTCATCACCGCTGACATCATCACTTTCAGCAACATAATCAGCACAATCACAATCATCATCACGAAACCAGCATCCACAGCAGCAACATTACCACCATCGGCCATCACGACCACCGCCATTACAACCCCCATTCGCAGCCGCACTACCACAACGTCAAATATTCAGCGGAGATTGTTTTTTAATCAATCTTGTTCATGTATATTTGGCTGTTTAACATTAGTTTTGTGTATCGTTACCAAGAGAAGCAGACTGAAGTGAGTGTTTTGTGTAAAAGAGAGAGAGAGTGCGTGTGCGACAGGGACCGTTTGTGTTTGGCCTGGCACAAGAGTCGTGGTGACGTCACCGCCACTTAGTGGCGAATGGCGGTTGTTGTTTGTGTTTGAACCGTGTTGGCCTTCATGGGTGCTCACTTACACCACTTTCCCCAAAAGTCTGTTCAGGTGATACGGCGAATCTTTGTATTTTTAGGAAGTGGTGGTGCAGCAGTTATGAACCAGAAAACCCAAATTCGATTCCTGCTCCCGGCCAACCCCAGTGACAATTATGCAAACCTAGGTCGACTCAGCCTCAAATGAGAACCTGGTGTATTATGTGACCATTGCCACTAGGCAGACAGAGGTGGTCGGGCATGGTGCTGGCTACCCACCTTGTATCCCGTGCTGGCCTTCGAACAGTACTTGCCCCAACAGTCTGTTAAGGCTATAAGGGGGATTTATTATTTGTCTTTGCGTGTATATCAGAGGTCTGGTGAAACAAACTCCCTAAGCTTCATGGTGCCAGATAGAAACATCTGCCTATCATGTCAATCAGTCAACCCATAGCACTTGGATCTGTCTTGTAAGCTTCTATCAGCGGACCTTTAACGCTGCACGTGACCTCAAATTGTTAACCTGGCACAAGCCCTGTGATGACGTCACCATCACTGAGCGGTTAATGGCTGCTGCTGCCGCCGCTGTTGTGTACGTGCATACGCGTGTGTGCGTGTGTGCAGCGTTTGTATGTGCGTGGATGCGCGTGGATGCATGTGGATGCCTATGTGAATGCACGTGGTTTACAGGAGAAAACGAGAGAAATGAAGGGTGAGATTTCATACCGCGGCGTGTCGTCCACATGTGGCCCATTATACCGGAAGGTATCTCCGTATCCCGTGTAATTACTGAAGCGCTCCGTTCCTGAACATCACACGAACAAAAACACATATCCCACCTTTAGCCTTAAGAGTTGTTAGGAACAACTGAAGGCCAGTACATCACTTGAGGGCAGTGGTTCTTAACCTGGAGTGCGGGATGCCCTTTCTGGGGGTGCGAGACATGCCAGATTTTTTTCGGAAGGTAAATCATTGAAACACAAATTAAGCACGGGCACACAAGTACAACTAATTTGTTTCGTCGACCTTATGTATTTATTAACATATTTTTTTTTACGATTGAGAATTCAAAGGGGTGCAAGGCTGCAGTAAAGATTAAGAACCACTGCTTTAGGGGATGATGTAGCCAGACCTATTCCCAGCCACCTCTGTTTCGTCAGCACTATTGTTTATACTCAACTGAGCCACATAATAAGTTTAGTCTGAGTCGACTCAGAGGAGGCTATGAGAAGCCCATGACAGGAAGCACGAAGGCATTGCTCCCAAATATTGCACACTCGCGGTTACAGGTGTTCCTTTACTTAACCAGGTAACAGGCCACTGAGACCAGGAGACTTTTGTTTTTGCGAGGGATAACTCGAGCAAAATAAATGAAATCTGAAGGGACGAGAAATAATATGCAGAATGATACAAGGCCCAGGTCTTCCTTGTGTGGTGGGTTCTACGGAGGCACACACTTGAACTTGGGAGGCATCACGTTTATTACACAACCTCAACAGGGTAACTACATAACGTAACAACGGTTAACTATACCACGACGGGGTAACTACAAAACTGGGTCAGTCAGCCAACACACTGCCTGACCCATGATGGCGAACGTGATGACCGAAGACCGAGGATCGAAGAGACGTAGCACCGACGGGTTCCGTTCGAGCAGACAGCCGCGATTGCTCTCGGGACTTCCCTTTTATGCTCCCGAGCGTGGCCTCGTTCCGCCTTCGGCCACGTCCCCTTCTGGGTCTTACCAGAATGTTTTCGACCGAGCATCACGTGTCCCTCAAGCCACACTTTGGGCCCCCTCGCTACCCTGTCCCGGTCACGTGCCCTCTTGGGTTCACCCAGACCGTCACGTCCTTGCTTGCCCTCTCTCTGACCGTCACCAGAACGATGCTGCCTAGGGCCCGCTTCCATGCCATAGCTACTCTGGTGCCAGAGAGAGGCCCAAGACGCTCAGTTCCACTCTTGTGACAGTGGCTGGCGCTAAACGCCATTGTGACTGCTGGCGCTAAACGCCATTGTGACTCCATTTACGTCACTACACTTGCAATGGTGCCTTGCTATCTCAATTGGCTTTTTGTTTATATCTCCAGGAGAGCCATCCATTTATAATTATAATGCAATAATTGTGATAATATACAGCCCTTTGTCAATGCACAGAAAGATAAAGGTCTCCCCGACACCTTGTCAGTAACAAGGGCTGTTTGACCATACTCGTACCATGCAATTCATTGTGGGTTTGCGACGTAGGAGGCCCAAGATCAGATGCAGATATCACTCCCCCTGAATGTGAGCCGAGGCTGAGAATCCAACTCGGGTATGTAGGTTGTAAGCGCTGCGCGCTAACCGCTGTGCCGCTGCTACCTGACCCACCTGCTATCATTTCCAGCCAGCTGTATAATCGGCTACAAATGTCTCTATGCTCAAAACCATGGTGCTCATCTTTATTGGCAGCCCTGACCTAGCGTTCAACATTCCACATTTTCATGGCAGGGGCCAGTCTTGTCTATAAAACAAAACACTGATAACTTTTCACAAGCATAACTAATTTTTTTGACCCAACAAAGCAGATGGGCACACAAAATCGAGGGAATGCAATCAATGGTGCAAACAATAATGCAAATCATCAGCCAAAGACAATTTTCATACAATTAATCCTGAAAAAAAAAACACACATTTGGATCGAAATTTGTCGTTAAGAAGGGTAAATGATGAGTCTCCAGCACGAGTGTGCGTTTTATAACTTCCATAGAGTCAATGGCGATGCAGCTGAGAACATCACCTCGTTTAATCATGGGTGGCTGCCCAAATTTGAACCCAGGATCCCTGTGGTGCCGTTTGAGTGTTTCGACGCTCTCATAACGAGCCCTCCACCGATTCGACCTCAAAGCAACCCAGTCAGCTCCAACATAAAGTTTACGACTCCAGTCTCTGGCCAGCGCGAGCGCCATCGAGTCGGGGGTTATGAAGCAAAATTATCAGCGCTCTGATTAGATGTCCCAGCAGTAAGGCTTGAGTTAGCGTCGACAGCAACATTCCAAGGCACTGCTGCTGCAGAGATAAATTAAGGTAACTTGGCATATTGTGTCTGGCACTTTAGACTAAATAACCTTTGGACTCAAAGTGGTAAAGTAATATGATGGCAGAGGGTAAAAACAACCCCTATACCTAGAGCAAATTTATTTTAATCGATTTTTGTTTAATTCTAGGTCTTTGCATTGTTGCATTTTTTTGTTACCTCCTAATTGTATTCCAATTGTGATATTGGCCAGCATTGTGGAATGATCTAGAAGTGACACTGCAAGGCCTTTACACTGTTAAAATGCCAAAGCGTCTCGCTGTTCAAACCATTTTAGTGCACAGCAACTTCCCATTAGCTGCCTTGAGCCATTGTGTGTGGATATCTAAGTGGGGGCCAGGATCTCCACAGAAAAATGTCACTACTGACTTCCTACATGCTACTCAACTCACGTTCTTGACCTCCACAGAAACTATTTTCTCCGTCGAGACCCCAATCAGGATGAGAACTCGCAAACGTCTGACCGAGAGTCACACGCTTTACCGTAAGTGCAATCCAGCTGCATAACTGTTGTACAGTCAACACAAACATATACACACACACTGAGTTAAAGAGAACCCACGAGGACCTCAGACGTCTCACTTTGTTTGCGGTGCGGCCTCACTCGACACCACGGCGTGGCCTCCCTGGCGTAATTTAAAAGTTAATGATTCGTAGCAACCGACGTGTTAAAATGCACAGTGTTATTTTAGTTCCCCAGTGAGCCGGTAAATTGGTACTCCCCCTCCCTCACCTCGTAACCACCCCCCCCTCCCTATTAGGAAATTCGGCCCGAAAAAAATGACCTTCGCATAGAGTCAGCAGGAGATTGATGCGGGCAAAGGGAAGGGATTAAGGGCTGGAGTTCGCTGTGGAAATTAGCGTCGCACAAATCCACTCGAAAGCGGCGCGCCGACAAGCCCAGTACGGCGATGCATTCTTGTAAAATGCAAAACTCTCATGGAAAGGTGGGCTGACCAGGGAAAGATCATCGTGTGGTAAGCCATACAATCTGGGTGGTCTAGCAGCAGAGGGTTTTTTAAGGAAATCCGCTTGGTTGGTTCGATTAAAGATGTCGAGTCGGTGATGCTATTATTGGTTTTCGTAGCCAGTGAACTGGAACACGTACACCAAACTCTCAAGATGAATGGTTACTCAGACTACACAATCCATAAAGCTATCACCCCAACCGTTGGGAAAGAACCATCTGAGGGCCCAATCAAAACCATCACCTTGCCATAGATAGCAGGGGTAACTAAAAATATTTCCAAAATCATGAGCAAACACAAGATCCAGGTTCGATTTAACACAGTACATAAAATTCGTGATCTGATCCCATCTGTGAAGGATGTGATCCCTGACATGCAATACCCCGGCGTCTACAAACTAAGCTGTGTCTGTGGCAGTAGTTACATCGGGGAAACTAAGCGACATGTCTCGGACCGTGTTCGTGAACATGAGGTAGATCTGAAACATGGTAGGACCAATACCTCGGCCGTGGCTGATCCTTGTTTTAATGCGGTGGGCTCACACGAAATTGATTTCTCTAAGACGAAGGTACTTTGCAAGCCACCTGGCTATCAACAAAGATACGTTCATGAAACCATCCATACAAAGACACAGACACAATTTCAACCATGAAGATGGGTACAAACTAAGCTATCATTGGAAGGACGTTATCAACAAGTTTAAGTCATAACTGGCTATGATGTTCCCATCCTACCACCTTCCAATGTTAGTTGTGCTTTACGCTCATTTCAAACTTGTGCTTTCACAGGGTTCACACTAACACAGCCTGTTCGCGCGCCGATCACTTGGTTGCGGCTCTGCGATCTACAATTCACATGCTAATCTCTCATTAACATGCTAATTTTCACTTGGCAGCCCTTTGATTGGTGGAAAACCAACCACCGTCAAGCTGGCTGCCCACCACTTACATTGTCATTCGCCGCTGACTTTTGGGCTACGCCCATTTCAAACATTTAGAAACAGTTTGCCTTTGGAATCTAACCCCCCTTTTCCTGAAGACGACCGCTTGTGTTGCGATCGAAATGTCGTAGTTTTAGTTTTTTGTTATTTTCTTTGAACCTATCTAAGTGACTTTACCGAAAGACCCAAATAATATGAATTCCTGCAGTCACAAAACCTTTAAGTCAAGATTTATCAGTCAACTCTGCGCATCATCTTGGGGGAATCAACAGTTGGTGTGTTACGGATAAACTGTACCATTCCAGAAGAATGTGGAATTTATACCACTTCCTCAGGATCACCAATAGAGATGCCCACTGGCCAATGCTCATTTAAGTCCCAGACACGTTGCATTGGATTTAAGACGTATAAACAATTACATTTCTGTTATCGGGAGACACAATTAGGGACGTAACGAGACACAATTAAGGGTGGGATGATTCACACCCCCAACAAACTGAAGAATCCATGTGACTCCGGCTCGCAATTAGGTTTAAGGATCACACTTTGCTGTGGTGATTTGAGTGGCCCCTTGTGGCTTTAGGGGTGATGTAAACATAAAATATAGACGTAAGGCTTTCACGGCCAATGTTAGAATTAATTAAACACGAGAATGAAACTTTTAGAGCGCCACAATACTGGAACAACCTCCTGGAGGCAATCCACACACACGACTCCATCGCTACATTCAAGTCACAACGCATCTCTGTGCACTTGCATTTAACTAAATCACAGCCACAACTTGCTTTTGTTTAATTTGGAGCTTTCGTGACTGCAGGAAT